CTGCTGAGAACGGGACATAGCTTCCTCTGGAGCCCGTCACCACCGCTCTTAAATCAGTCAAAGGGGTCCCTATTGAATGGTGCCGGGCACTCCCTTCCCCACCACGCTGAGCTCTTTATCTCTCCAGCCCCTGCTGTCCTGGAGAGCCATGAGACCGGATACTGAACCCAAGCCTCCTGCACAGCAGCTCCTGGCACATGTGGGCTGCGCCATGCTGTGCAGTGTGAAAGGTTTCCCTGGGGCAGCATTTCTGATGCATTGGCTAGCAGGATTTGTGCTCCATGTGGGGCCCTGCTAGGAACACCCCAGTCGTTCTCTGCATCTCGCTGCCTGCGGCATCCCACAGGGCACGATCATGTGGTTTCTAGGGGTACCATGGATAAGAGTATGAACTGGGGAACAAGGGATCAATGAGTAGCTAAAGCCTTGCATGTTGCTTGCTGTAATCGCTGAACAGCAAGACTGCAATGGCAAAGCGGAGGCATATCAGGACTGAGATGCTCTGACAAGAACATGCATGTGGTCCAGCTCTGTAACACCAGGTGCTACAGCTCAGCACAGAGGGGTATCAGCAACGCTGCGTGTGGGACCTATTATCACTAGGCAAGGGCGCTACACACCGAGTGGGGTGTGAGCCCAGCAGCAGATGGGAGGGCTGTCCTTGGGCCAGCAAGAAGCACCGCAGGCCAGAAATGAGGGGTATCCACCAAGCTGCACGCAAGGAGGCCTGCCCCGGAGCTGCCTTGCCAGGGCTGAGGCTGAGCAGAGGCACCCACAGCACCCACCTGAGAAATTGGTTTTGCACGTGTTGCCATTTACCAAACACAGTGGCCCTGGGAAGAGAGTGCAAGAGTCCAAGGCAAGCCTGGAGGAAACGGCTTTGTAAACACCCTGTTCCTGCTGGTTCCTCTAGCTCCATGCTTGACAGGCATGAACTCTCCCAAGTCACCCAGCGCTCAAAATAAACTAAGCCCTTTAAAATAGAAGGCAGCAAGTGAGCTTTCTTTAGCAGATGCAGAGGTGGAATCTGACCTTTCCTTAGCTGCGCTGCACTCAGCCCCCTAGACTGCAGGGCAACCTGGCCGAACAGGGCAGCTCTCTCCAGCCGGGGTCTGGTGGAACTAAACTGAGCACCAGTTTTGGCAATGGCTCTCAGAGGACTGACATCTTTGTGGACCTAGGGGAGAAAAAGCAAGACTGTTTTAAGTAGGGAAGAGGAAACCTTTAGTTAGGTCCCACTGAATCACAGCAGTTTGCAGTGTGCTGAGACTGGATACAAACTGCAAAGTTCAGCCCTGGATCAGACCTCTCCCAAGGTCTGTGCGTGCTTGGCTCAGGAGTTCTGGCTTGGGTCCATCGTGCTGTTGGATCTCAGAGCCCGTCCTCTTCTAGAACAGCATGTGGTGACGCCTTGTGCGTTAGGGGCTCCACCAACACTAGCAGCCTAGGCTTCTATGCCACTGTTAAAACATTACACTTTTGTAATGGGAGGTTGTATTTGATCTGACCAGGAGAGGCCAATGCATAGTTCTTATGCTGCATTTTAATTAAAACACCAGTTAGGAGGGAGACATTTTAGGAAGGCATGGAACAAACCCATGGGAGATGCAGCCTGGGGTAGAGATTTGTTCTACAGGGAAAGACGTACGGTTTTCTCACGGATGCGTCACCCTATAAAAAGTTAGGCAGACTAGCAAGACATGACAGTCTATGTAGCACTGTAAGGAGGCCTGAGAATAGGAAGGGACAGCCCTGACCACTGGGAAAGTCTGAGGTGGCAGGGATACAGAGCGGGCAGGCTGTGCAATGGGTTTCTATTGCAGACTTTCACTAATAGGTGCTTTTGATGAAAGAGTGGCAAAAGCAGCCAGTTGGGTGGTTTAGGGTTACAGCACAGCTCTGCTGAGCAGTTATCCAGGGCAGCGACACGGCATGATCGCAGGGCTGGAGGCTGTGTGGCGAGGCAAAGCTCGGTGGCACATAACCACGCGGCACCTGCCAAGAGCAGCCCTGCCTGCCAGCGTGCTTTGCCCTTTGCTTTCCTCCTCAGCAGCACAGCACACCTCGCTGGCCTTCACTTCAGGATGTAACCCCCCCATAGAACAGCCACAGGGTGCAAGTCTTGCCCTGTGACAGGAGACCGGGAAACGTACAGGACGTTTTCCCGTCCAGCTTTCAGCAGGGCTCTTTTGCCTCCGCTACAGGCTGCAGGTGGTAAATCCCCTCTTGGCGACCAAAGGGCATCATGTGCTGTGCAATAGCGTGACCTGAGCCAGGATGATGCAAGGCTGCAGTACTTGGTGTTCGAGTCAAACCCGAGCAATGAGCTGAGGAGTTCAGAGAATAGAGACTGGAGGGCGGGGGGGAGACAGATACCTGCCAGAGGAACCTCTCCGCCTCTGTGCACACTTTTCCCTCATATAGCAAATTTGACTATTGCCATTGCATTGACAGAAAACGTGTACGAGCCCAGTAATGCTGCCATCCCCACAGGAAAACCAGCAACAAGGCAACTGAGCCACTCCAGGATTCATGCCGTTATGATGCATGGACTGAGATTAAACAGTGGAAGATGCAAACGATTTGCTGCCCAGTTGAGTGTATTTGGGTGTCATTCTTGCCCCAGAAACTACCAATCTAAGGCAGCTGAAAATGAACAAAGCTGATTCTCCACTACAGCTTTCAGCATCCCTTAGGCACGCTGTGCTCCCTGCATACATCAGCTTGATGGCCTCTTCCCTCCTTACACTACAGTGCTTTTATTTCTGATGTACAGCAGCGTGGGAGGGAATGAAGACCAGCAATTTCCAGTCATTAGAGCATGGGTGGCAGACGTTTCCCCAGGAAAGTGGGGGTAGGTAGAGCTGCCGGGAACTATCCAAGGCCCAGACCCTGCAATGATCTGGCACTGAAGCCTGCCCACCCCTGCAGCCGAGTTCCACCTCCATCCTTTGGACACGAATATGTGCTGTGCAGCGCCCAAAGTCTTCTCAGAAGTCTGGCTCAGCTGCTTTGACTTCCCCAAGCCCGATTAACATTCCACCTAAAGCAGAGCTATTGTTTCATGTCTGCTGAAAACTGACCAAATCCTGGGGGAAAAAAGCGCCTGGCAGATAAAGGGCCCACAGGCTGCAGTTGGGGCCAGAAGCAAAAAGCTACTTAGGCTTAGTGAAACCTCCACGCTCTCTCTATTCCTTTCTAAATAAAGCAAAGGGGACCTGCTCAACGTCATCCCTTCCAGGGAACCTTTTGCCCCTGGCTTGAAGTGAAATAGCCCAGTACACACACAGGTGTTCCCAACAGGCTCCCTGGTCAACATTTGGATTGGACTTTCATCAAGCTTGGTGAGCAACCTGGCAGGCCTCTGCTGCACCTCTCAAGTGGAGGGCAAGTGTGGATGGGAACCAGTGACGTACTAATTCTCCAGAACACTGGTTAGTGCCCAGGTTACCCGTCTTGTTGAGTTACCAACCATTCAACAGTCTTAAAACACAACCCGACATATTTCAAGGGCCTTGGGGATTTCAGGAAAAAGGTTACATCATTTTGGATGATTAAGATGGAAGGTGAAGAGACGGATCCCACTGCTAAGCTGGCATCTCCAGGTTTCTTCTCCAAGTCAGATGAGTGCAAGCACTCACAGGCAGACTTGACCCTTGGCTTCTTGCTAGCTGACTCAGCAGGGGTGGGGCTGTTGAGTCCCCTAGGACCCTCCGACTTGCTCAAGAATAAAATCCTGCTGGCTATTTAGACAGATGCTCAAACACTGATGAAAGGAGTAATACAGAGAAATGGCAGTTAACAAAAGCTCTGTGTAGGGAGGAGGTCGTCAGAGACTAGGGCCAGTTGGAAAAAATGTGAGAGTTTGTTTTGATGGAAATTTTTTCAGCTAGCTCCAGTAGCAACCCAGGTGTGCAAGTGATTAAAAACAGGGAGGAGATGAACCTTGTCACACCAATTAGGCAGGTTGGACTATTAAAGAAGGACCGGAAAAGAATCAGTATTCCTTTTTTTTTTTATTTGTTTGATTTGATTTCAGTCTCACATTGGAACAATTTTAGTACAGCCATTGTGCAAATAAGGAGAGACTGGTAAGAAGGAAACAGCAGCAAAAATTATGTTGTCATTGCTCAGTGCTTTCCAAATGACACGTCATTGTACCGTACTTAATTCCATTATGTTTTGCAACAAGAGTTTAGAGAAGAGCAATCGCACATCCCAGTGTACAACTCAAACCCTTAGAGAGAGATGCACACAGCCATGGCCTAGTAGAACAGAAAAAGGTTTTCTTTTGTTTCTAATACTGCGTAGCCTGCGCCTTAGTGCAAAAAGTGGCTTTGACCCTACTTCCGCTTACAACAGTACCTGGGTCAAATTTCCCTCTTTGCAGTGGTTTAGCTGATTAATCATGGCAATTTTAGCTCGTGAGAACATCTTTGCAGTAGTCCAAGAGGAGGGTGCTTCATCCTTGTCTCTGCTAGCACTATTCGGGAAATCTCTCTCCCATGCAGGGGACCTCAGAGTTATGGGAAGGGCAGGAGTGCTTATGTAGACTCAGCTTTCCTGGGCTTGGGAGCTGTCCAGAGAGGCTCCCAAACCCAGTAATCTCCACTGCAGTGGAAAGGAACAGAGAGCGCTCTGCCTCTTAAAGAATCAAGCTCTCGGACAGCAAAAGGCAAGGTGAAAAGAGAATGGTACTTCATACAAACAGATTCAGTGGAAAAGGAAAATGCCTCCACAGACCATTTTAACCGAATTTCCTTTTAAAGCATCTAAGTAACTCAAAAGATTGCAAGAGTGCAAAAGAAATATCTAACACTAGATATCTAACACTAGATCCACTGGCAATTAAAACTACGTAATTCGATCTTCTGCAGCTTGTTTTAAATTCTAAATTTGCAAACTGCAATTTTTGCAGGTGCCTAGTGATTCTGAGACACTGCACAAAGAATTTTTCAACATGTAGTGAGGATCCACCTCGGGAAGGCAGGCACTCCTGGCCAGGTCTCATGTACACAAAAGCACTGGTTGTTCGTGAAAATCTTGGTCACACTACAAATAGATAGAAAAGGGCTCTGGGTATCCCAAGTGATGTATCCATCACTTGAGCTTTGCTCCTCTGGGTTTGTTGTAGTGTTGCTAGCACTTTGTGTATTATATGACACTGATTAAGGATTAAAATGCACCACAACTCAAGAAAAATGTTACCAATCAATGGCCTCACAGTGGCAGGAAAAGTCTGCTTAGAAACAGCAAAGCAAGCTTGCTGAGGCACCAGGAGCATCAGAAAACATGCTCCATTGCCATGCTGCTTCCCCAGAGCACGCACTATTGGAAATTTAATACTGTTTTATACTGGACAATATGAAGATTATTAATCCGCTACAGCTCCACTGTGCAAAGTGCTGAATGCCCGCAGCTTCCACTGCCCCTAGGGTCGACTTCTTGCAGAACCAGAGCCTGACACTCTTAAAAACATTTCTGTAGCTATGCATTTGAAATGACGTTCATCCCTGTCACCACTCCCATCCACCTTGAGGCTCACTTTGAGTACGGTTTAAGCACTAAGAACTGGAATTAACTCAGCCTTAAAGGGTGCACAGGCCTTGTGCTAGCCTAGTGCAAAGAGGTGAATTTCAGCGTGTGCAAGAGTGGGAGTTGTATAACTCAAGTCCCTGCCATCCCACCATTGATGATCCTCCTCCCCTGCTGCTTTTGTCTCACAGCTCGTGGGTGCTTAGATGCGGTTTTGGAAGCTTATCAATATCCGAGTTCTGAATCAGCTGAAAGAGGAATTCCACTTGTTTCTCATAGTCTTTGACTGAGATCCTTTCATTCCACCCATGAATCCTGTTTAAAAAGACAAGAGTATTTTTCATTCCACTATGCAGGAGCAAATTGGATGCCGACTCCCTGTTCACTTCATAAAGCTTCAGAAATGTTAGGATAACAGAAGAAATAAAAGGAAGGGCATATGGGAGTTCCCAAATGCAACCCAGCTCTCTGCCCTGACAGATCACAGGCCCTTGGAGTCCCAGCACCCTTGGAGCTCCTGGGCGCTCTACTCCCACAAAAGTCAAAACTGAGAGCCAGCAAACAAACAAGCTTCCCGCCTGGCAACATCTGGCTTTAGCACAGCTTTCTTCCAGCTTTACAGAGTTAATGACCTGAGAGTGCAGCGTGTGTCAGAGATGGAAATATGCATCTTTAACACGGCCTGACATATCTCAGAATCATGCATGCAATTCAGGCAACGTGAGACCACCACACAAGTTCTGCTGGAGCACCATGAAGCGTATTTGAGCCAAGTATGGTCTGCATTTTAATTAAAAGAAGGATAGGAGCTAGCTCTCTCCTCACTGCAGTTATTGCCCTGTACTTGTATACCACACTGGCCTGCAGGAAATGGCTGGCCTACACGAATCTCAAGTCCTAGGCCAAGGTATACATGGCTGGTTTCCTACTCTTGCATAACACACATTGAGGTTCTTTGACTACAGGACCCACCCCAGAAAGCCTCTCTGCTTGAAGAAGCATACGATACCTGGAAACATCATCCGCTTTAAAGACCACAGGGTTGAAGCGATAAATGGCGTCCGTGAGGTTAGTGAAATGCCTGCTGTCCGTGTTTCCAATACAAATGCCTGGAAAACAAATCCACGGGTTTACTATGCACAAACACAACCCATCAGCCACCCAAGCCTCTGCTATCAAGGAAAAGATTCAGCCGATTGTGATGTTACATTTCTCTCAGAGCCCAAAGCACGCTGCCCAAAAACTCCCTCTTAAAATTAAGCCTGAAAAACGTGTATTGAGATGAAGAGCACCCCGCTTTCTCTCGGTGGTGAGAAGAGCAGAGCACTGCAACTTATTGGTTTCAACAGGAACTGTGGTACTTGGTATTGGTCAGGAACACAAGCGATTTCAAACCTGAAATCCTCACCCCACCAATTTTAACTGCGAGACTGGGGCTTCAGATCATAAAGTACAATACAACAAAGGTTTGCCAGTCATGGAAGCACTAAATGAAGAGCCTGCCCCCACTCCTCACATCCCTGAAGAGATGTGTGTATGCAGAGAGTCAATTCAAGGTTCATTGTTTCCCGCAGCTTCCTGTTTGCTTTTTTACTTCCACCCTTAAAAAAAAAAAGTTTTAAGTAGAAAGATGGAACCTAACAGAAGAGGAAAAAACAGCTGTTTCCAGTCATTAACAGCTGGGGTGGAGAAATATACAGAAAGTGGAAACAAAGCAACTGGGAGGAGGTAGGTGGCTGGAAATGGGAGAGGAAACAATAATCATTGCCTGTTTGGTGTTACCTGGAGCTATGCTGCTGACATGTGGGAAAACATCCATTATGGTTCTTCGGAAAATCTGGACCCCCAAGGCCTGGTCATCCCACGGGCTGATGGGTAGCGGGTCAAAAGCCTCAATTACGGTTATCTCTACTCGGTCATCATCAATGGTGTCTTTGACTATCTCTAGCACCTAAGAACAAACCATGAGGAGCATGTAAGTGAAGAGAACGAGCGAGTCTCCCTAGTGGATGTCAGTGTGGGTACCGGCTACCCGGCCAGCCTTGGAAATCATTTCCAGCTATGGTTCCAAAGAACGGAGTCAGGACAGGGAGCCTGCAGCACCTCAGGGAGGAGGTTGGTTTTCCTGCTTCCAATGGCCTGTTGACATTAAAGGTTGAAGTGTTTCCACGACCATCAGTTGCAGGTCACTGCCTTAAGGCCTCACTTGACCCCTTCAAAACAGCTAGGTATGGGTCCAAGGAACACCCTACTAGCTGGCTGAGAGAATTCAAGGGAATGAAATACAGAAACTACTTGCAGCAGGATAAGGATGCATCCAGAGCAAGAGGAGCTGATGTGACTTACAGATAAGCTATATGTCTCCTACTGGCTGGGTATGCCAGTCCTGCTCAAGCATGAAAGAATGCTACCTTCTAGTGACCACTACTCCAAGTAAGTCCTAATACTACTGCTACATGACCATTCATTGCTCTTCTGAAGCAAGAGAGTGACTCCCAGAGTCAGCTCCATACAACTACATGGTGGCCTTCCAAACATGGTCCCTTCTCCTGTCCTGCTCTATATTCGGGAAGTAGCTGGAATCCAGAGAAAGTCTCCAAAAAGAATTGGCCAACAACAACAAAAATCCCAGCCAAGCAACCCATTCTTCCACATGTAAACCAAACCCCTTAGGACAACCTGCAAACATGAAAGCAGAGCGCTGGCCTAACTGGGATGAAATTCCCCTCGGAGGTAAAGCCAAGTTAAGAAAAAGCCACAGTGAAAAATACACCGAGTACACACGGGAAGAAAAGCATTAGATAAACCACACTGAAAAAAGGAACACTTCCTTCCCCTCCAGTTCCATCTTGGGGATAGATAGTGATAGCCTTCTGATGAAGCACACCAACAACATTAAGAACTAAGTTACTCTCAGACAGCAAAGTGCCCCATCACTCAGGAATTTCCAGAGGGCAGCCAACACTTACTTTGTGAAAAGGGAGCCAGCAAAGACCACACCGGCTCACATAATGCCTGCAAAACTTTTAATTACCCGAAGCATCTGAGTTGTATTTTAAAGGAATCTTATGTAGAACGCATTACAAAAATTAAATCTAGAGGCAGTCTATGGACGTGGCAAGACTAAAATAAGGAGGAAAGCTTGTAATAGCCAGATCAGCCAACAGCCATCCATTTAAAAAAAGTACAGGGAAGTAAATTAAGACAGTAACCAGTATCAAGGTAAACCAGATAAAATGTGAAAAAACAACATAGCATGTAGGCAGTACCTCAGCAACCTTTTGGGCTGGGTGGATCCGAAAATTCACAGCTGCACTGGCCAAGTGTGGGATGACATTGAACTAGGGGGGAAAAAATAGATTCAAAACAGAGAGGAAGGTACAAATAGTTACAAATACACCACTTGTGAAACTGAAAGTCCAGTATTACTTTATCCTGATCAAAGGGCTTAAACTACCACTTCAGAGCTCGCAGAATAAGGTTCCCTCCTGCTGTCACTGACAACAATGCACCACCCTTTTACCATGCTCCAAGTGTAAAGCAAGGATGGCCAAGCACGAAGGACGGCCAACCATGGGCAGCCTCCGAGTGCGGCAGGCAGCAGATGAGGGAGGGGGCAGGCAGCACAGCAGCAGCTTGGGCAGGGAGCAGTCAGATCAGGCAGGGGAAGGGGGCTGAAGTAACACTTGGGGAGGGGACAGGGCTTAATTTGTGACATGCCTGACAAAGTTTCCCCCCCGCACTTGTGTTGTAAATGATTGATATACATAGTTTACATAAGTTACTAAGAGGAACAATGGAAGCCAGAAATATCAAGAGGGAAGTTACTTCCCATCACCTTCTGTTCCCAAAAAATTCTCTTTGGGAGAAAGGGCTTGGTACATGTTTTTCTTAAATAATTAACTTCATTTTAGCCAATGAGTCACTGGCCAAAAAAAAGAAAAGAAAAATCTACTGCTGTCAGAGTCCACTTCTTCAAACACCCGCCAAGCATGACATATGCAAGCAACCTAGCAGTTTACGTAGAAATCGAAAATTTGCGTTTTTCACAAGACAGATATTTTAGACTTCTTTTGCTAAGCAAAGTTAATCTTTGCAAACAAGAAGAGAAAAAATGAAAGAAAACATTTTCGCCACTTGGCGTCACTGTTTCACCACCATAATCTATAGCCAAGGGATCCTTCCCAAGAAAATATTTACTCAGAGATGCACAAAACAGCTGGATTAATTCCTCCCGTCTTGTGTTCCAAAGATACGGTTCTCAGTCTTCTTTGGATCATGGCATCTGATTACCAGGATTAAGACTGGAGCATGCCATTCTGGGATGCTTGCTCTAACCCCACTGTGGAGCTTAGGGCTGCAGTAAACCACATTCTTGGGATTATGAGACCAGGGTCCTGCTTTCAGCAGGGAACTGCAATGCTGCAGACAGTGGTCACACCCAGGTCTCAATCATGCTTTGTATAACAGTGTTGACAATGTGTGTATCTTGTCTACATTACCATTTAAACCACTTTCAAAGGCTGACTTACATGACAGCTACTGTCAGAATTGGAGCAAGTTTCTATTGTAGCTAAGGCCAGCTGCACTACAAATCAGAGTGAAACTGGTAGCGTCAGAACACAAGGGCCACTGAATTTATCACTCAATGTAAAAGGGGGAGTAGTGTGCTGTTCTTAACACAGGTGGTAACCGTCATTTTACATAACTTGGATTATCTTCTCATACCAAACAGAAGATGAATAAATGCAACATGAAGCTACCTTAATTCCTGCCTTGAAAACAGTAAGCGCTGTTGTAGTTCGAACCATGCTATTACCAGTGGGCTTCCGCTCAATGATTCTGCACAAAAATAAAAGAAGAAAAGTATTTATAAGGGACAAGAATGACAATGCAGTTGAGAGACAGCAATGCATATGTCAGTCCAATCTGACAGAGGAACTATAGAACAACTTCCTTATTACTTAATTTGGCTACGAAGCATTTACCTTGCCTCAACTGTGAGAGCTGATTTCTTGGGAAGAGCAGCCCATTGGCAAGAGAACTAATGGAGCGATGTCTCTACAGGGATGTAGGTCCCCACATTTCAGGGGAAGAAAGACTGAAACGTTGAGGAGAGGATGGGTTTCCTTACCTGCTAACAAGAGGTGAAAACAGCCACAGATTTTTCATGACGATATTGAGAGGAAATGCAAACTGGAAGAATAGACGAGAAGGAAATCAAGAAGCTATAACAAAGCAAACATCAGCTTTTGATATGAAAGTGATGAACTACTGCAATTTAGCAAAGGCTTCTGTTATTTTGTTTTAACCAGGGTCAGGAAGTCCCTCGACAAAGGTCGTATGTCTGAGACGACTCTGCATTAACTAACGAACGTAGGGCTACTGCTCACTCCTTACCTCGGAAGCCAGATGCTCAAACATCATCAGTTCAGGCCCATAGCCGAACAGCCTGGGCATCGGATTCTTTTCCAGTCTACAACATACAAATTGGCATTTAAAAATGTCAAAAGTGGTCGTTTGACATTATACCAGAAAACTGGCTGCGTTTTGATAATTTGGGAATAGTTTTGATTCGTGAAAGCAGCCAATACTCAAAAAGGTGGCTGCCTCTCTTTTTGGTAGCGAATCAGGAGAGCAGCTTCGCTATGTACTTCCCAGGATTCTTGTCCCATCCAAATATTTTGAGGGTAGGGAGAGTGCGAGTGTTGGGGGGAGGGCAAAGATGCATACGGTTGGCTCTTTGTGGGAAGGAAGGGGTAAATAGGGATGTGGGAAAATCTAGGAAAGTGGTAAGCCTATCAGTTTGTTCTAGGCTCCTCTAAAACAGCACTCCTTCCCACCCAGCAATCAGTCAGTTCTGGGTCAGCTGGGACATAGAAGACGAGAAGAGCTCCATTGCAGATGCACTCCAGCATGACTTCCTCCCCTGACCATGAACTCTCTGCCAGAGGTTGCTTATTTTTATTCACATCAGACCTGTAATCTTCAACATTTACCATACACAGGAAGGTGCAAAATGGCATAGAAAACTATAGAAAGCTGCCAGAAAGTTTGGCATATCAGTAGTTTAAGCAGCTTTTGCACAATCATCTGAGATCAAGTATGTTACCAATAAACTCTTACCTGGACACGGCTGCTGCAAGAATCCCAATACTTGTCTCCTTAGGAGGAGCAGATGAATGACCTGGATCTGATCTCACAGTGAGGTTCAGCGTGAGTGAACCCTTCTCTGTTACAGCTATCCTGATCATGAATACATACAAACATAAATTAATGCTGTTTCAGATAGTCCTTAAACAAACACAATTCTTCAACGCTTGTAGCTAAGAGGAACTGCCAAGGTGTATTTTTAGAACGATATGAAAACACTGTTGCAGTTGCAGCAAAGGCAAAAAACATTTAAGGCCATATCTGTTCTAAGCACTGTAATCCAGGCTCTTTCTTCATGGAGGTTTCCCCATCACAGAGACAACGCATTTCCTCTGGCATAAGTGGAGTGTCCTACCCTTTTTTGTTTCCATTTTGTGCCCTGCTGATACTCCAAGTGTCTTGGAAACAAACTTCCTGTTAATGCAACAGGGCACTTCCTTGCTGAAATGAATTATAAGAGGTCTCTCTGTGGTGGTTAACTGAAGGGAGTGTACTTATCAAGCAGTGTTTTCTTAAAAAATACAGGATAGTAATCCTTATATGATGCCAAGAATGAGCTGATACCTTATTAAATGCGACTGCATTAATGTGTAAATAGATAGGCACTAGGTATTCCCCCGGGAGCTTAGCCCACGTGTTTGCCAATTTAAAAAATGCTCCTACGCCCAACAGCCTGACTACGGTGTTCCTTTTTGAGCTATAATCCTGCGTGGAAATCAGAATGCTTCTTATGAAAGCCAAGATACAGCTCTGGAGAAGGAAACAGATTAATGAAACCAGAAGTTTCACAATCAGATCTGATCCTTCTAGCAACTGTCCAATACTCCCTGTTTGCTCCACTTGTTTTGTTGCCATGCTCTCTCTCGCAGTTCCAACTCCTCTTACAGTCCAGACGTCTCTACCCTGCTTTCATAATAATGACAAATAACTGAGCCTGGCTCATCAGGTGATATTCTACAGGATTTTAGAAGGAAATCCATGTATCTTTGGACAACTGCCTACCACAGTGGTAGAGAGAGAGGACTCATAACCCCCAAATTGACAAATTTTTCATTCTCATTCTCTTTCTAGACAAGTATTACCATAATAGTAACTTAGAAAAAGAACATGAATTGGGATCACAGTCCAGATGCCAAAGAAACTTGTGGTACAATAACATTAAGGCTAAGAAAGGAGTTGCCACTGACGCCAACCAAAACCAAGCATCACTGGTGAGAAGGAAGTCTAAGCTAGTTTGGCAGGCAAGTGCTCCATGCATTAGCTAGGAGTGCCCAATGATTGCAACATTGAGGACTACAGTGGAAATCTGATGCACCACATGTAACTTGGTTAAAATAGAGTAATTCTTAAAGATACCACAGTCCTACTAATATTTACAAATACTTGTATTTTCAATAAGAGATGGACAGAAATTGCAATCAAATCACCAATAATAAGGTCCTGCAGTTCAAGTGCTACATCACTGCTCAGGAGCAAGAGGGACACTGCAGATCACATTTTAGACATCTAGGTTTTGTGTTGCATTTCAGACACCTCTGCACCAGTGTAGACAAGCTGACACTCATACTTACCCCCAGAGCCACGGATCACATTCACTGTGCTGAATTCTCTCCTTTCCTTACTTACAGAGCTACTGGAGACTTTATTCCCTCGATGACCCCATCCAAGATACCGCTTCCCTCATCTAGCAGGAAAGACAGTTTCACTCCTCTGGCTTGCAACAGCATCGCTATCTGTTTTCCTCCATCAAGACCAGATACCTGCAAGAATCCAAAGTAGAGGAATGGCCATGCTGACCCACAGTAACTGTCCACTGAGTATAGAAGCCTGCCTCCAGGGGTGACCAGAGATAGATGATGAAAGTGCAAGAAACCCCAGACTGAACAAGTATGGAATAACCTGTCCAAGGAAAGACGTTTCTCACTCACCCTAGTTAACTGGTGGTTCCTAATGCTCTGTCAGCCGAGGGTTTACAGGTTTTTTTTGTCATTACTGAGCCAATAAAATCTTTTTATGACTTCAATGATCTCACGCAGTAGGGAGATCCCCAGGTCAGGGAGACATTGTTTAAAAGGGTATTTAATGTTATCTGTTAACACTTCTGGTCTTCCAGTTTCTCTTAGTCGGAGTATTATGAGAAAAGAGGAAGAGTTCCCTGACTTCCTCTGTATCATTCAGTCTGCCTCTGTTTTATAATCCTACAACAGTCAAATGCTAGTCTGGATTTCCACATTTTATTGATGTTCCCAGTTTGGACTTTGGCTGCATTTTGACTACAAGACAAATAAAAACCATCCTGAAGAACAGCATCAATACACAGTGTTCCTTTTTGCTGACTATACCCTGATCTCCGTATCACTGAGAGCTGAGCTATGTAGGCTACTCAATTTAGTGTGTGACAATGCTAATGTGAGCAAAACTGCAGGGCCTTCCAAAGTAAACCATGCTTGAGAAGCTGCTGTAGTCAAGTACCAGGACAATGCCGATAACTGGCTGTCCTGATGAAACATCTGTATTGAAGCAAGAGTGAAAGAGATGGATAGAGGGGAATACCTCTTCGTCGTGTCCAATTCCAATATAGAAAGATCTGCGCGGTCTATAGTTTCTTCTCAACAGGAATTCCAGGGCTTGCAAAATACCCTGTGTAACAGAAGCAGAACATTAATTACTGTGTCCTGCTACTCCCCAAGATTATTAAGGGCTATTCTATTTGCTAAGGAACAAAAAGATGCAAGAGAAATGCGGTGCATTCATAGCACTGAAGCAGGTTTCATTCTTTTCACTACTGTGTTGTGATTCCCATTGCTACTAGCTGATGATCCCCACAGCCTTTGGAAGACACTGCAACAAATGTCTTCACTCCAGGCTCAGCGTGCTATGAAATGTTACGGTATGTATGCACAAAACAGAATGGGCTTGATCCTGCTACTCCAAAGTAAAAATAGAAGGCTTCTGTCTAATAAAGGATTTCACTGTCTAGTTACCTCTTGCTAGCGCAAGCAAATTCTTTATTTTAATAACCAGTAGCTTTAATGCAAGAAAGAAAAATAAAGGAAAACAAACACGGGGAATGAATGGAAGTGAATTTTGTAACCTAGGAACGTTTATGTTTTTTCAGTCCCACCTGCTTTTTCAAACAAATATGGTTAATCTCTCTTCATGGAGAAACGTGTGTTGCTGCTGTCTTGTCAGCATTCATTTCAGCTCAGAAGCTGCAATAGTTAATTATTGTTTAGTTGTTTAATGGACTATTGCCCCTCCCTGTAGCCAAGAGGCACCAAGACAAAGTTCTCAGTCACAAGCTTTGGACTTATTAACTATTCATCAAATTGCAAACAAAAATGAAAAAAAAATCCTTGACATCCTCAGCATGTAGGAGTCATTCGTATTTATTTTGTCTTAATTTTAGTTCTAATAGACTGGTAAACATGGGGCTAATTCATGAAACTAGAAATCTTTTCAAGACTTAAAGAAATCACTTTCCCTCCACTTCCTCCCCTAAAACACGAAACAAAACATAGGACATTTACCAATGATTGATACTTATCGTGTTTTGTTTCTCCAAAATTTACTGAATGCAGAAATTCTGTTCAAAAGCCGCAGGCCAATATGACAAATTGGGGGCGTAATCTTTGTAATATGAAGGAAATTTCACCCATTTTTTAAGAACCAAATTCTCCCTCATTAAAAGAGAGAGGACTACCCAAAGATATATCTGACAAGACATTTAAATACTGTATTTATCAAGGAGTAAAAAAGCAACATATTTTTCCCTAGTTCACAAAAGCTCTTAAGTATCTTCTCTCCCTTCCTCTCTCCCCCTTCCCCTCCTATTAAAAGATCACTTCATATTATTCCTGTGAAGAGTGCTTGGAGGAAAGGGGTTGGTAAGTTCCTATTGATTCAGCATATTCTATTTAATGGGGAGTAAGGAAGAGAAAAACATGGAAGAGATTCATTTCTCCTCCATCTTGTTCAGCCTTTTCATTTTTCTAAAACAAGGTGACCGAGAAGACATACTATGGCGGAGTTTTTGTTATCCAGTGTCCCTCGTCCATAGATGTAACCTTCATCTTCCTCTGCCGAGAAAGGAGGGAACTTCCACCCCTCTTCCGAAGCTGGGACGACATCCATGTGTGCAAGCAACATGTAGGGCATGAGTTGGGGGTCAGAACCCTGAACAGTGAAGAGATAGCTGTACTCCCCAACAACCTCATGTTGAATGAACTCAGTAGAAAATACAGCAGGAAACACTGTTTAAAAAGAAATTTCAGAGAGGGAGAGAAAGAGGCACACACGAAAATAAGCAAGGGTTCTTTCCATTGTACTCATACACTTTTGGCTGCATAGCATAAGCCTGCTTCTACTGAAGTCAATAAAATATTGCTGTTGCCTTTAATCCTATGACAATATTTGGTATGCTGCAGGCACCACCCAGGCAAACTTCCCTGTCACAGCAATCCCAATGAGTCTTAACCTGCAATGACAGCCCTTGCTGAAATGGGAGTCATTATTCATCACCACTGAAGATTTGTTGTTGGTGACCATGACTGAATCTGCAGACGGGGCTTGAACAGGGCCGCCACCTAACTCTCAGAGCAGGGTCAGGTTGCATCAGGGCAGACCTCTATGCACTATCTACACCAGCATTTCTCAACCTGTGGGTTGCAACCCAGAAGTGGGTTGCAAGCATATATGAAAGGGTCACGAACACACTTTAAAAATGAATCAACAAGCTTTAAAAATGGATGCTCATTTAAGAGAGAGAAACGTGAGAAACTGTGGCTTTTCCCTTGTAGACTGGCAGAGTTCTAACCTGCAAGGGGCTGCTTGTAGCTGACTGGGACCCTCTCGGCCCCACACACTGGAGGGCTAGGGGCAGCAGGTCAGGAGGAAGGGGCACTGGGTCAGGACTGGCCACTGACGTTTACAAATGGGTCCTGGTACAAAAAGCATTGAGAACCACTGATCTACGCCAGGCCTACTGCCAGTGGAGGAACTCTATAAGTCTTGCTTTGCCAGTACAGAAGCTAGTCTTCTCTGGAGAAAAATCAAGATGATACATACTGTTCCATTACACCGAGGAACTAAACCCTCTAGTCAGCTCTTTACCAATGGCTCCCACTCCCCAACTTTGTTATTAAAAATATATGCATTTAAAGTCCTGTACCTTTCTGAATATATTTCCCAAATTCGATCAAAGCTGTCGTATTTAACTGCTTTCGAAGGAAGGCCACTGTAGGAATTTTGATAGCACCTGAAATAAAAAGATTTTTTGACAATGAAATCAATCAGATGTAATTTTACCTTTTATTTTAAACACCTTTAAAGTATAAACACCTCTGGATGCTCATCTTGCTGGGATCCTATGACCCCAGCTGACTTCCTGCCCTTCGGGCAGGGGGCTGGACTCGACCTTCCGAGGTCCCTTCCAGCCCTAGTGTCTATGAAATCTATATCTAGAGAGCTATGCGAGCAACCTAAAGAAAGAAATATTTTTCACCCATTACTTTTCCTGTCCAGTTCAGTCTTCTATGCAATACAGACGCATGGGGATATAATTCCCCATGCTCCTCAGCACTTTCACGGGATGGTTTAAAAAGCACGTGGATGTAAGCCTTATAGCAAATGCTACTGATTGGGACTAATAACTTCAACAGGATCTCTTGCTAATTATGCCTTTCTAATACTAACCGGTATTGAAAGCTAGCAAGTCAAATCCAATTTGGTAATACAACTGTAATTGAAACAGTTTATGTTAGAATATGCAGCAGTCAACTACATTTTAATCAATCTAGGAACATCTAGAAAAGATAAAACAAAGTCTACAAAACAGAATAGCAGAGCATGAGTGATTGGGTCAGGCAGATGCACTAAAAAAACCCAACAGGGACTGAAGTGTAGCTGAAATGTCAACTAATACTCTGGAACAGAAGTGTCTATTTTAGGATTAAAGAAGAAATAAAACCCAATGATAAGAAAAAGTATAACTGATGTTTATACAAAAGGGTAAGGAGCTAACAGCACAGCACAGTTTTACACAGCTCTGCCAATAAGCTGTGACTGTAACCAGCTGGCACGACTGCCCAGTAGGATGAAGGTGCCAACCACCTACATCTACTGGGTTTGAAAAGGGAGCTCTGAAGAGGTCAAGGACCAGCACTCAAGCCTGGCAGCTCTCAAATATTTTTTGTACACAGTAAGGCTCATATTTCAATAGAAAGATAACAGCACAGACTTCCTTGATGCTCAAACCTCCAGAGATGCTTGGACACCCTGCTCCCCTGTTGTCTCCCACTAAACCCACTCAGCTATTGAATGAAATTTGCTTTACGAGGTAGCTGTCCAACAGCAACTCAAAGCTGGGCAGAGCACTGCTATAATTTTGTCCCAACTGCATCTAGCTTCCGCAAGGGCCTCAGCCAAACAAGGTTGCAGATAATCACCGGTGTGTTGCTATTTACTGAGGAACATAAAAATAAAGTTAGACCTATTGTATATTTTCATTTTCCCTTAACAGAGCCATGGGATCAACAATGACGGTATACAATTGGAACAATTCCCACTGAGTGAAAACATTGCCACTTGCTAGCAAATCATCCCTGAGTTAGTGAAGCCTGGTGTTTACAGAACAGCCTTTGCCCACTTCAAGTGGGCGACTATCGCTTCACCCCAGCCTGCGACTGCCAATCCTCATCTCATCTAGCGTCACCCGGCCCCGAGACACGAACAGACCAGGGACAGGAAAACAACCCCGCAGTCCCCGGGGCAAACAGGGCAAGGAACGGCAGGCAGAGCGGCAGCCTGGAGCGGGTAGCCCAGGACCAGGAACACGAGGCAGAACAGCTTGGGTAGGGGACACACACTGGAGAGTCGAAAGCATGGCAGGCAGGGAGCGGGAGGCAGAGCAGCAGCGTGGACGGGGAGTCCAGGGCAGGGAGTGGAAGGCAGAGCAGCAGCGTGGGCAGGGAGCCCAGGGCAGGAAGCAGAAAGAAGAGTGGCAGATTGCGCAGGGAATCCAGGGCAGGGAGTGGAAGGCAGAGCAGCAGCGTGGGCAGGGAGCCCAGGGCAGGAAGCAGAAAGAAGAGTGGCAGATTGCGCAGGGAATCCAGGGCAGGGAGTGGAAGGCAGAGCAGCAGCGTGGGCAGGGAGCCCAGGGCAGGAAGCAGAAAGAAGAGTGGCAGATTGCGCAGGGAATCCAGGGCAGGGAGTGGAAGGCAGAGCAGCAGCGTGGGCAGGGAGCCCAGGGCAGGAAACAGAAAGAAGAGTGGCAGATTGGGCAGGGAGTGGAAGGCAGAGCAGCAGACTGGGCAGGGACTCCAGGACAGGGAGCAAAAGGCAGAGCAGCAGATTAGGCAAGGAAGCACAGGGCAGAAAGAAGAGCAGCAGATTGGGCAGGGAGTGGAAGGCAGAGCAGCAGACTGGGCAGGGACTCCAGGACAGGGAGCAAAAGGCAGAGCAGCAGATTAGGCAAGGAAGCACAGGGCAGAAAGAAGAGCAGCAGATTGGGCAGGGAGTGGAAGGCAGAGCAGCAGACTGGGCAGGGACTCCAGGACAGGGAGCAAAAGGCAGAGCAGCAGATTAGGCAAGGAAGCACAGGGCAGAAAGAAGAGCAGCAGATTGGGCAGGGAGTGGAAGGCAGAGCAGCAGACTGGGCAGGGACTCCAGGACAGGGAGCAAAAGGCAGAGCAGCAGATTAGGCAAGGAAGCACAGGGCAGAAAGAAGAGCAGCAGATTGGGCAGGGAGTGGAAGGCAGAGCGGCAGATTGGGCAGGGAGCCCAGAGCAGGGAGTGGAAAGCAGAGCTGCGGATTGGGTGGGGAGTCTAGGGCAGGGAGCAGAAGGCAGAGCCACAGATTGGGCAGGGAGCGGAAGGCAGAGCAGCAGAGTGGGCGGGGAGTCCAGGGCAGGGAGCAGAAAGCAGTGCAAAAGATTAGGCAAGGGAGCCCAGGGCAGGTAGCAGAAAACAGAGCCGTAGATTGGTCAGGGAGTCTAGGGCAAGGAGCAGAAAGCGGATCAGCAGAGCTGGCGAGCGCCCCGCCCTTCACCTCGCAGCGCCCGGACCAGCTCCTGCTCGTCGAAGGCGGGTCCCGCCGCGGCGCGCGGCGCCCAGAAGGTGGGGGCGGGCGGCGG